CTGTAGGTGATCTGGAAGTCTGTTTTTGAGACTTGTTTACGTGTCTCCTCATTTCCACAGGGGAGAGGGGCTGCGTCTGGTGCCCGCACAGCTCACCTTCTCTGCCCTACGAGCGTGGAATGGTGGCGGGGGAGCCTCCTTCTGGGTGCTGGGACTGGCTCACCTTCTCTGCCCTAGGAGTGTGGAATGGCGGCCACAAGTTTATTTTTCTGAACCTGTTTCTTCACCCATACATTCATGGAGTTAATAAGGATTAAAAGATCTATACATGTAAATGCTTCTACGAGTACCTGGCACTTAACGAGCACCTAGTAAGTTATTAGCCTATACTTAAATTCAGGGTATGGCTGAGCAAATATTGTTTAATTGGCAACTGTTTATAGCCATCTATAGCTGCATTTTACTTATACACAGCCCAGGATTATTATGTGTGTTGTTTCATTGGTGAGTGTTAATGGGTAGTGATAAAGGAAAGCAGCAATATATCCCAATAAAAAATGTTCAGAGCCAGATGTGTAACACACTTGTAATTCCAGCACTCTGGGAGACTGAGGCAAGAGGATCAAGCCCAGCCTAGCCAACTTAGTGACTTAATAAAAATTTGTTTCAAAATATAAGGAAAGAAAGAAAGAAAGAAAGAAAGAAAGAAAGAAAGAAAGAAAGAAAGAAAAAGAAAGAAAGAAAAAGAGAAGGGAAGGAAGGAAGGAAAAGGGTTGAGGATGCAGTTCAATGTGAAAGCCCTGGGTTTAATCCCCAGTACTGCAAAACAATAAGTAGTACTTTAGTAAAAATACAAACAAAAGGAAAGGATTAAGGAAGAGAGAAAAAAACCCCAACCAAACAAACCACCACCAACAACAAAAAAGAGCCAAGGACATGTAACAACAAATGTAAGGACCTTACAAACCAGAGGAAATTCTAATTTTATAATGTCCACCTTCCCAGAGATAATAACAAATCTCTAGATGAGACTTTGCTTCAGAATACAATTCTTTTTTGTTGTTTTTTTGGTACCAGGGATTGAACTCAGGACCATGTGCCTGTGAGGTAAGCATGGTGCCACTGAGCTAAATCCCTGGCCCCTTGAATACAATTTTTTTGGCTTTCCCACTGTTAACTGACTTCTCTAATAAAAAAGTCACATGACAGTCAAATGCATACACACTAAATTTTTCCTTTTGGTCTTAAGGGCAAAACTTGACTGTCAGGAGCTTTTTGTATAATCTGCATATCTATCTTCCTTTTTAGTTTGATTCTCTGTCATCAGCAGTAGTTAGTTGCACTCAGAACAGGTTCATCAAGATGGACTCTAGTACAAAGGTGCAGAAACTTCACATAAGGGTACAGAGTGAACTTAGTGGAAAGGAAAAAGGAAGCCTTCTGTGGGATCCTATGTCTTTTGGGAATAAAGGATTTGCAATTTGATTAAATAGTTGTTTCCATAAGACTTTATTTTATAAATGCCTTGAAATGCAATGTATCATAGTTGCCCTAAAAGCAATAATGGTTTTTTATTTTCTTACCTTTTTCCAGAAGGACCAGATGGCATACTTAGTGTTTTCTGTAAGCTGAATTTACTAGGAGGAGCATTTTCAACTGATTGGGATAAACTGATGCTTCGATTCCTGAAGAACTCAAATCCACCACTTGAACTGGGTTCCTATGATAACACATAATGTGCAATACACTTAGACAAAGATGCCTTACAGAAGTATGGCCTAAAGAAACTAAATAATCCTGCAACTAACCTGAGCTGTAGGTGTGGATGGAGGCGTCTCAGATTCTCCAGAGCCAATGGCTTTAAGAAATCGAATCATGTGTCGACATAGGTCCCACTTGCCCTGTTCCAGTGCTGTGTTGAACAGAAGGGTGGCATGTTGCCTGCTTACTGCTGGGACTTCCATATTCTATAGAAACAACCAAGGAAGACAGCATTCCTTTTAAAAACTACATGATTTTGAGAAGATATGAATAGTTCTTTTCTCCACACTTTCCTAAAGCCAAGGGATGCAGATATAATACTGTATGGGTTAGTTTAATAGTATGATTAGAAGCAGCATTAAAACGGCCAGGATTAGCTCAGTGGTCTCACTGCTTGCCTCATAAGTCCAAGGTCCTGAGTTTGATCCCTAGTACCAAAAAAAAAAAAAGCAGCAGCATTAAAAAGGAAAGTGAAGCAAGTACTCTGCTGGTATAATATGAACTATGACTTGTTGAATACCAGTACATGTCAGATACTTTACATACATTATTTACTACTTTCAGTCATTGTGTAAAATAGGTGTGTCATTCCTTTTTTTTTTTTTTTTACAGATGAGGAAACTGAGTTTTGTAAATTGCTGAAGATCAGCAGAAGAGCAAGAATACAAATCTGTCTTGCCTAACTCCAGAAAAACTTAGGTCTGCCTCCAAGGACCTAGTTTTCTGAGGATGTGACTACAAAATCTTTGCTTTGGGGCATACAAAATAGTACTGTTATCCATTTAGCATCCTCAGTATTTCTTTAATCAATTCAACCTTACTACCTGTGTTGGTTTTCATGGAAAGGTGCTTAATACATGAATTTAACTGTAATTATTATTTGCCAATCCAGAGGCATTTAGGAATTTTGCTGGAGAAAGTTTCCAATCCCATTAGCAGGGAGATCACTGAAGGTCTAAGGTGTGACCCAAACAAAAACAAAAATAAAAACAAAACAGGTGCTAGATGGGCACAGTACTGGACACCCATAGTCCCAACTACTCAAGAGGCTAAGAGCAGAGGACTGTTAAGTTCAGGGACAGCCTGGAAAACCTAGTTAAAAAAATGCCAGGACTGTACCTAAGATATCTCTGGGCTCAATCGCTAGTACTGCAAAAATGAACAGATTCTTACGCATTTCTTTTCCATTTTTATAATTTGGTGGACTTTTTTATTTGGGGCTAGCTAAGGAATCATAGATTCTCAAGGCTATTAGCCTCTGCTTGACTATCTCCTCTGGTTTCAATCACTTGTCATGAAGCAAATAAGCTGATAGGAAATTGCAGCAGGCTGAGATTTATGGTTAACTTCTTATGTATCAATGAAAACTTTACTGTAATTTGAAAGAGCTTTTATGCAGCATATCAAAATGCTGTCAGACTCATGGGAATAACAAACTATCAAGCCTTCTGTCAAAAACATAATTAAACAAATTTTCTGGAGCCTCAACCTATTATTTTGAGAAAAATGGGTTATGAGGGTCATTACTGTGGGAGCCTTTTCACTTTATTCTTGTGAGCCTAACCTAAGTTTGGTTATGACCCAAGTCTACTGAGCATCCCAACAATGCTACACAATAAGGAAATGAATTACTGTGTGACACTCAAATGCACTAATGTCCAAATATTTACTATTAATGTTTCTTATATTTTAGTAAATATTTCTTATGTAATATGTGCATAGTATATGGATTACAACACATATAATAAAGGTTTTTCAGTAGTGTTTAAAATACTCAGAAGCCAGTCAATTAGCCCTATTTATAGACAAAAATTAAAATACCCTTGCAATGCATCTCTGGTCATTTGACAAGACTGAGTTCTTCAAAATGAAAGATATAAACTAAAGAGAAAATCTGACTATTCCTTAAGCATAATCATAGTATCAACATAGGATTTTTTTTTTCCTAATTCTTGTTTCTAAGAAGAGAATTGTTACCTGTAAAATAATAAGGTAAGAGGCAGCTGTGTCCAAATCCTGAGCCATCAAACATTCTTCAAATAAGTCCTTAGGGTTTCCAACAGCTGCAAAAAGGTAATTCCACAGTGCATATTCGGTCTTCCTGGCACAGTGCACAACTGTCTGCAGGAAGAGGGGGAACTCAGTAATAAATTTTGCCACAGTGGGAAGCAGTGGGTCGGGAATGGGTTCCCGAGAGGTAGCTTCTTCTTCCAGCACTTCATGAAGCATGAGCTCCAGCACATGAGGGAAGTAAGGTAATGCAGCACAGGACTGAGCCAAGAGCAAGGCTTGCTCCCCAAGGTTCCTGACCAAAAGTTGACGTAGAATGTGGTGGAGGTAGATCTGAGAGGTTCTCTCCACAACACAGAAAGGGAAGAGCACCTCCAGCTGCTCCTTAGCACTGTTCCGAGTGTACAAAGAATCATATAGTAAAGTGTCATTGACAGCACCAAGGACCAATGCGTCTTCAAACAGAACCGCCAGGGGATATATATTGATATGGAAAGGTAGCATGATCCGCTGAGACAAAAAGGAGTGTGGCTTGCGGTTATCCCTAGGGAAGAGAGGGAGCCAGACTTTCATCCCCGCACCACCACAGCTGAGCCAGAGAGCTTCGAGAAGGTGACGTTTTTGTTTATTTGCTCGACATGTAGTCCAGACATTTTCAACAGACTGGGCTAGTACAACAGGAGGACAGAATGGCAGCTGGAGAAGAAGAGAGAAGAATCAGGGGTTTTTTTCTATTAAATGTATAGGTTCTTAAGTTCCTAAGTACTAGTTTACTGGGTTTTTCAAAATGACAGTACAACTTTTTGGGAAAAAACTCTAGAATTAGAGTTAATAACAGTATTCTGCCTTTCAAAGTATATACAGTTAAATCTAAAAACAAAGCAACAATAAAGAAATCCCTTGAGGGCTGGGGATTTAGCTCAGTGGCACTGCACCTGCCTGATATGCATAAGGTCCTGAGTTCGATTCCCATTACTGGAAAAAAAAAGAAAGCCCTTGAACTTCACCCATCCTTGTTTTTCCCATTACCATTTATAACTAGTAATACCTAAGCCATTAACATCTGTACTACAGGACTTTTTATTATTCTGGGACCTTATCCTTGACCCTTTAGCGTTATACCCAGAGGCTTAAAATGAATTTTATATGCTTTCTCAATTTCTAAATCGTAAGACATTACTCTCTCTTAAATTATTTTGTTATCCTAATCTTATACCTTCTTAATGTTTGAAATGGCTTGTACTTTACTCACAAGTTTCCTTTGGTTGGGGTTACTGGCCTTGTCCCGGATCTGAGGACCAGACCTGTCCCTCTGCATCATGATGAGCTGTCCAGCAAGGTTCAGCATAATGCTCTCTGCATCACGAACCTGAAATTTCAGAAAAAAAATTAGAGTCACACATTAACTTACAGATGTTTTCAACATTTCACCCTTCCTAATCAATAAGATTTATAAATTAAACAATCTACAATATTTATTGAGGTTGTACCATTTGCAGCCCTTTTAGGTTGTGCAGGAATACAGTTTTCTGGCTAGAGTAGAACAAGGCTTAAAACATAATGCAGTTTTAAACAAAACCAATGAACATAAAATTGAGGGTAGAGCTGAATTATCCTGGAAAAACTAAGAGAACGTCAGAAATGCATAAAAAGTGAGAGATCATTTCACTGATCTGGCTGGCATAGCTAAGAATAGGTTTAAACGTTTAAAGTAAGACTTGAGAGATTAGGAAAAGAGAACTACAATGCAATCTCCTTACTGAACATAGATGAAAAAATCCTAAACAAGATACAGTGGTACTTTGGTTCACAGATGCTTTTGTTTGCAAACAATTTGGTTTCCAAACAGAAGCATTTGGCAAGATTTTGTTTGCAAACTCTGTACTGGGTGACAAACACAATCACAGCCATTGTTTGCACAAACACAAATGTAGCCATCTTTTCCAAGTTTGTGAACCGAGGTACCACTGTACTGGCAAACAGAATGCTACAAATCATCAAAAAGATCATACATCATGACCAAGTAAGGTTCCTCCCAGGGATCCAACGATGGTTCAACAAATGGATAAATACAATACATCACATAAACAGTAGCAAGGACAAAAATCACATGACCACCTCAGTGGCTGCAGAAAAAGCCTGTAACAAAATCCAGCATCCCTTCATGATAAAAATTCTGAAGAAAACAGGTATAGATTGATCTTATCTCAATCCGATAAAAGCCATTTATGACCAACTTACTGCCACATCACATTAAATGGGGAAAATTTGAAAGCTTCTCCTCTAAAATCAGGAACAGAATAGAGGATGTAGAAATAACTCCATGGAATATTTAGATATCTGATCTTCACAAAAGGGCCCAAACACATAAACTAGAGGAAATATTGACTAGTGACATGCAGATGACTGAAGCTAGACCCGTATCTGTCAAGATGTACTATACTAAAATCAAAATGGATCAAAGGTATAAATATTGAAACAGAAACAATATCCTGGAAGGTAAAATAGGTAAAACCCTTGAAGATATAGGTGTAGGCAAAGACTTTCTGAACAGAACTTGGTTGCACAAGAAATATCAGGAATGAACAAATGGGATCAGACTCAACCCAATTAAAAAGCTTCTGCACAGCACAGGAAACAACCAACAGAGTGAAAAGACAATCTACAGAATGGGAAGAAAGTTGGGTTTTTTTTGGCACCGGGGATCAAACTTGGGTCCTTGTGCTTGTGGGGCAGGTGGCAGAACCACTGAGTTAAATCCCCAGCCCGGGAAGAAAGTTTTTGCTAGCTATTCCTCAGATAGAGAACTAATATCTAGAATACATAAAGTATGCAAAGAAATCAAACCCTCCAAAATAAAAGATTCAGTGAAATAAGGGGCAACTAAAGTGAATAGATACTTTTCAGAAGAAGTACAAACAGCCAATATATATGTGAAAAAATGTTCAACATCTCTGGCCATTAGAGAAATTCAAATTAAAACGACACTGAGATTCCATCTTACTGACAAAAGAATGACAGTCATCAATAAACCAAATAAATGCCGGCAAGGCTGCTGGGGAAAAGGAACCCTTCTACATTTTGTTAGGAATGCAAATCAGTACAACCACCAAGGATATCCATATGGAGAGTCCTTGAAAAACTAAATATAGAACTTCCATTTGACCCAATAGTCCCCTTCTAGGTATCTTCATAAGGTTAAATCATGTGATACATCATACCCATGTTTGTAGCAGTACAATTCATAATAGCTAAATCTGGGAAGCAGCCCATATGTCCATCAACAGATGAAGGGATAAAGAAAATGAGGTATTTATACACAACGGAGTTCTAGTCTGCTATAAAGGATAATGCTGACTCATTTATAGGAAAATGGACATACCATGAGATCATAATGTTAAGTGAAAAAACACAGCTTAAATATCACAATTTCTCTTATATGAGAAGCCTAAAATATAAAATAGAGCAAAATAAGAAACTGACAATAGGAAACAAGGAGATAGATCTTTTGCAAAAGAGAAGGGGACAAAAAAAAGATATGTTATGTACATGTACCAACCTCACAGGAGGAAAGTAATCATTATGTACTGCAAACATGGAGTAATAAAAATAAAAGTTAAAAAAAAAACAAAAACACATCTACTGGCAAAGCAAGAACAATCTGGTTAGATACAATGATAACACAGCTGGATGGCAAGAGACCTTCCAGGAGGGTTGGAAAGTCAAGTAAAAGAGAACAAGAAATATCCAAGTATGTATGGTTTTTGAAAAAGGAAGTTATTACTTCAAAGTAGAGAGCCTGGTATAATGACTTCCTCTTGAACCCTATTACTCAAGCAATTATATACATTAAACTAAGAGAAGCACTGTTTTAAAGCAAATCTTAGGTATCAAGTCATTTTTACCTTCGAAGAGGAAGAGTATTTTGACTGATTTTGTGATACCAGAAATTGAACCCAGGGCCTTTCCCCAACGCGTCTTTATTTTTTATTTTGAGAGAGGGTCTTGCTAAGCCATTAAGTTGCCTAGGCTGAACTCAAACTTGCAGTCCTTACCTTGGTTTCCCAGAGTGCTGAGATTACAGGCATGCACCTTGCCCAGCTGAGCATTTTTTGGGGGGAGGGGTGGAGTTTATTGCTATGAAAGGTAGAAAACGAACAAAAGATGATTTCAAGGTACCAAATGAGGCATTAGAGAGGCTGAAGTTATCAACAAAAGAAGTTAGGAAGAGAAATCAGGGAAGCAAAAGAGTCTGTCCCGTTTCCAATTTAACTACAAAGAATCTTAAGAGTTTCAAATGGAAGCATTATGAGTTATGACTATATCAGAGATGAAATGCCATCATTATAAGGATAAGAGTGAGGTTGGTAAATGGAATAAAAGAGATGAGTTTTCTCGGTTTACCGGGTTGGACAACGCAGAAAGGGCAGAGGGCCAGTGAGCTTTTTTAGGGAAGAACAGACATAAGGAAACATAATGCCATATAAATCAAAGAAGGAAAGAATGAGTTTTCTGAAGATGTGGGATCATGCCTCAGGCTTTGAGGCTTGCTGGCTGGATGAATTTACGTTGCCAGTATCATTTAGCATTTAATTAGGGAAAAAAGCAGCCACCCTATGTAAACTAGTTGTAAAATACTCAGTTATATAATATATTTTTGCTAACAGTTTTTAGATTTTACAAGGGACTTCATATAAAGAAATGGTAAAACTAAAACTAAAACAAAAAAACTACCATAACTTGGAGGTCTGAGAAGGACAAACAATTTAAAAGATGCATAAGAACTATAAGAGTCAGGCACTCAACAGTAAAATGTAGCTAGATGACAGAGGAAAGATAAAAACAAACATGCAAACATCAATGAATATAGTATGGCTGTCTGAGAAGCAGCATATTAGATTAATTCCTCAAACACTTCAAAGACCTTGAAAGCATTTACTGAAATTCACTACAATGACTAACATTCCTAATGACCATTTTAAATTCTAAGACGGTGGATTACACCATTGTAATTCACACACTTTATTAAAACAAAGAATACACGCCTGTAATCCCAATACTCTGGGAGACTTGAGTCAGGAGGACCACAAGTTCGAGGCCAGCCTAGGCTACTTAGTAAACTCAGCGAGATCCTGTCTCAAAATAAAAAAATATAAAAAGAGCTCAGGGTGTAGCTTAGTGTGAAGGCCTTAGTTCAATCCTCAACACACACATCCCTCCCCCACCAAAGAAAAATGTTTTCTTTAAAGAATATTATTTATTCATTCAGTATTTTTATTAATATTACAAGTAATTAATAGTATTCTCAGGCAACTTTAGGTAAGTTTTTAGAAGAATGAGCTACCTGGATGCTCAGAACCCTAAAATATCATCTCTTAGTCTAAAAACTCCCTGGCAGATGATTCTCCATTCAGATACTCAACAAAGTTCTCACTCTTTCATGAGAAAAGCTATCAGATTCTTGAATAGTTCTCATTGATATTATTTTCTTAAATCTTTATTAAATCAAGACTTGGTTTTCCAATCCGTTTAACTTCCACTGTATTTGAACTTAATTCTTGATCTGATCTTCACTAAATTACTCTCCTCTGTGAAAGCCTCTCTTTAAATGGGGTGTCCAATGCTACCGACACCATTGACTACCTACTGTAGCTGGGATATAGAAAGTGCCTTTATGAAAATTTCAAAATATCAGGTCATTTAATCTTCATATATTTAATATTCATTCCTAAAATATGTGGATATTTCTTTCTATAATGCTAGTTAAACTATTTTTTGGTCATCTCTCATTTCACATTTAAAAATCCCTTATTAACAGTATCTTTTCTACAGGTGGTTTCAATGAAAACACAAATGAGCTTATTGATTTGTTCTGTAGTATAGCAGCCACCACATTTGCCTCACTAATTAGCTTACCCAATGCATTGGTTTTTATGGCTCTAAAGCTTATTTAATGTATAAGTATCTCCTTTTGTCTGTGTAATTAACTTATAGCTGTCTCATACAATGTCCTGCATTCTGCTTCTTTGTGGTGTACAAGTACTTAGACTAATGTTGTATTTCTATCTCTGTGAATAGCAGATGACTCAACGTATTTGATTTGATTTGGGTTTAATGTTTTTGACAATGATTTTTTCATGTGAACTTCATGTTACATCATTTCAAGAAGGATAGCACACGTGGCTTTTCCACTTTCAGTAATAATTAATAAGGCTTGAGTATAACAACCTGATCCTGTCACTGTAAAGTTCCACCTAGTAACGATCACTGCTGAATCAGTTATTTTAGGGTTTTAAAATGGTGACTCTTTAATTCTCAGATTCCTTCTATGTCTTTTATTTAGAATTCTAGTATAAAGTAGAACTTTCTCTTATCAACTAAGGACTGTCTGATTACCATGAAATACAGTTTCCAGAGGAAAGAAGAGGTATATGTTAAGGAAGAAAACAAAAGTCAATCTATAGAAAGGAGAACAAAAGAGTGAAGAGGTCTAGAACAAATACTACATGAGATAATTGAAGGTATGGGAATATTTGGCATGCAGAAAGGAAGACTCAGAGAAAGGTATGAGGAGAGAAAGGGAAGCCAAAGAATAATACCTGTCTGCAAATATTTTAAAGGTCATCTTATGGAAGAGAAAGAAACTTTATTATTATTTTTTTGGTACCGGGGATCAAACTAGGGACCTTGCGCTTGTGAGGCAGGCAGCGGAACCACTGAGCTAAATCCCTGGCCCTTTTTATTATTTCTTGATCCAAAGAACAAAGAAATGGGTTATGTTGTTGTAAATCGGATTTTAGGTCCTTATAGATAATTGCCTGTAACAGTTACAACTGTAATGGAAGAGACTCTTTTATGAAGTAGTTAAATTCTCCAAAATTATATGGAGTGCTGAAGTTTAATGGAAATACCTCAGTAAGAATGAAGAGACAGACGGGGCCAACGGGGAGAACAAATAAATCTACATATAATTTTCTTTTGACAACAGGCTCCCAGTTGACATGAAAATTGTAAACCACTGGTATAATAGAAGGAGCTCTGGCTTAGAAAGTTCTACAACCTGGATCTTGGTGGCACCATTACATACTTGGTTAGTTCATCTTGAAACTACGAGATTGTACTTTCTCTTTTCTCATAAATAATCATGGAGTCCTTGATATCTATATTCATTTATTCCATTTCCTTTTTCACTGATCAAGTTCAAGTCACTAACACCATTCACCTAGATCAGTACAGTGGCCTCCTACCTATTCTCCTTTCATGCAGTTTTGCCCTTCTGCAGTTTATCTTCATCTTAAATATTATAAAGCTTAGAGCTAATATCCACCTTAAAGCACTTTAGAAAGTTCGGACTACCATTCCCAATGTTCTAGTACTTTAAATAAAATTTTTCCAACTCCCCCAGTATGTCATGCTCTCTCTTGCCTTTGAGCCTTGGGATTACTCTTCTTTCTGCCTCAAATTCCCCATCTTTGCTTAATCTCCACTCATTCCAAGGCTTTCAGAATACACTAGGTTTTGGTATATGCTCTCATAGAAACCCTTCTACTTTCTCATATATGTATAACAAAAACTATTATGTATATAATTGTTTCAAGTTGAGCAGAAACCATGTTTGTTTAGTTTGCCACTGCAACCCAACATCCTCATACAAAGCATGTTCTAGATACTTAGTATTTATTTGGTAACCAAAAATTCCCGCCACTATCTTAAAATACTAAAGACTAAAATGTAAATTCCAAAGACCTTGATAAAGGTATGGTACCTGCTGTGGCATTTTCAAGGTGATTCCATTCTCTGTACTCACAGATGTCAGAGTGACAGATACTACCAGGAAAGGGTGAGGAATGTAGCGTGACATAGAGACCTCCTGAAGGACATGAATATCAGCAGCAGTATTTGAACTGTAAAAACAAAAGAAATCCTAATACCTCAAAAACAATTCTTATCAGTATTTTCCCCCTTTTCCTGTTATTAATGCGATAGATTTCATGCTTATGGAAGATCCAAATGCCTTCTACTTACTGTCCTCTCCTCTCTAAATATCCTTCAATCAGGACTACCTAGGTTAAGGGATCCAAAGAACACATATGGGGATAAGAGAAAGAAAAAGAATAAGATGTTGGAGAGAAGGGGGAAAAAATATAAACAAAAACAACTAAAGGGCCGGGGATTTAGCTCAGTGGCTTCGCTGCCTGCTGCGCAAGCACAAGGATCCGAGTTCAATCCCTGGTACCAAAACAAAACAAAACAAACCCCCGAAAAACCCAAAAAACCCAAAAAAACCCAAAAAAATCACTGTGCTCAACCATTGACTTACAGCCTCAATTCTTGGGGCCTGGGATTTAGCTCAGTGGTTTCACCACCTGCCCCGCAAGTACAAGGACCCGAGTTTGATACCTGGCATCAAAAAAACAAAAAACAAAAAACAGAAAAAAATACTAAGGAAGAAGAAAGAATAGAAATATTTAAAGGAAAAAATACCTAGTCAGCTAAAAATAC